ACAACATGATCTCTCCTATATGGTTTACGCGGATGATCAGCAGATGTACAGAGTTGTTCAACCTTGGATTTCTTGGACGCCCACTTCGAAAGCATTGGAGGCCTGTGTGTCAGAAGTCATCGACTGGACAAGCACCAATATGCTTAAAGTCAATCAGGAAAAAACTGAATTTATTATTTTCAGTTCTAAGAACCCTAAAGTTGACACTAGTGATATGCAAGTACAAGTTGGAGACAGCTCTGTTAAATCAGCTGTTTCTGTGAAGAACCTTGTTGTTAAGCCCGACCACAAACTGACAATGGAGAGACAAGTGAATGCCATCAGCCAAGTCATGCTACTTCCAGATCAGAAGTATTTCAGCCATACGCCGATACATCACAGAAGACAGTTGTAAGACTCTAGTACATGCTTTAGTGACATCTAGACTGGATTATGGAAATGGTCTTCTCTGTGGACTACCTGAAACCCTCACTGTTGTCTACAGAGAAGGTGCAGAACTGTGCGGCTAGACTCATTACCAAGACTAGCCGGCGTGAGGAGATGGCGCCTGTGAGAGAGAAGCTACACTGGCTTCCAGTCAGACAGAGATGCCAGTATAAGATCTTGATGTGGCATGCTTATAAATGTATCCACGGTGTGGCCCCCATACTATCTTCAGGAACTTGTTGTGCCATATCATCCAACCAGGTCACTCAGATCAGAATCTGAATCCGTCTTCTCTCAACCAAAGAGCTAGGTACAGTAACGATGGCCACAGATGTTTTGACAGCATTTCAGCTAATCTTTGGAACAGTTTACCAATTAGCCTAAGAAATTCATCCTCACTGGACATTTTTAAGAAAGCTCTTAAAACCCATCTTTTTAAAGCTGCTTATTCCATATAATGTATCACTGGTTTTATCACTGTGTAGAATGTTACTCCTTGTATGTGTTTTTACCATGTGTTAGATGTTTCATCTTTTAGCATCACTTGTATACCACCTGTATATCACCATACAGTATTTTATATGTTAAGCGCCTTAGAGTGTTTTTTAAAAAAGCAAATAAGGCGCTATACAAATCTTGTGTATTATTATTATTATTATTATCAGCGATCCCATTACAGAGGATGATGGAGGCATCATTTTCTCCGACGCAGAAATACGCTATTGGATGGTTAACAACCTGGACGTATCTTCACCTTCCAAGAACGGTAACCCGGCCCACACTTACCTTATGAGGGAGGACGATGCAGACACCATCACCCTACCTCCGATCGACCTGATAGCAGCGGTCCCCCAGAATCTGGACACAGCCTTCCATAAAGCCACTAAAGCCCAGGCGCCGGACTTACCACAGTTCAACGCCAAAAAGTTCTCAACCCATAATATGGACCCATTTTTCAAGGCACAAGAAATCGACGATAACTTCAAAGTAATCAACGATGCAAAGAATAAGACCTACAAGATAGACGACCGCAAGCTGGTTCAGATCGGAAACCATGACAAGGAGAATGTTCTTCGGCCTTAACAGATCAAGAAGCGATTAATGAGACTCTCATCACCAGATTTCAAAATTCTACATCAGAAGATGACAGAATGATATACTCGGCCCTCCTTATGCAGAAGATGGACCAGCCGTTTCTAACGGATCATCTTACATCAGTCTCCGCGGCGCTAACTCTGGCTGCGTCGTCAAGGTCTCCTCGCTTCCTGTAGTTGGGGTGAACAGTTCACGTCTCCACTCTACACAGCCCGTCGGTCTCGCCATCTATCTTCGATGGAGGAATAGATAAAGTCTCTAAAGAAGTCACCAAGGATTCAAGGGAAGTCCTTATGATAAAGTCGATGGACGCTTAGCTAAGCCATCAGGCAGACATCACAGAGATATTCAGGAAGATCAAAATTTACCGGCTTACAGAAAGCACGGGACAGGAAGATGGTCAGTTCAAGAGGAAAAAGATTCTTTTCGTCGCCCATATAGCAACTACAGAGGAGGATCTGGAAGAGGCAGGAGCACCCAGAGGTTCCCGCAACTATAAGCGATGAAAGGCGGGATCGGAACGACGGGAGTCTTCCACCCCAGCCATTCCAGTACAACCATCACAATTGGGTGGACGCCTTCAACTGCACTGGGAGAACTGGGGAATTGTACAAGACCCATATGTCTCCAACATACTTCAACACGGATGTCAATCCAACTACAGGCCATGCCTCCGCTTACAGTCAACCCTCACAAGTTAGGCTTCCAGGAAGCAACAACTACCAAAGTTAAGAGAGGCTGTTACATCTCTCCTAACCAAGCTTGGGCCATAGAAGTACTGGATCAAGAAAACATCGAACCAGGCTTCTACTCCCCAGTTTTCCTAGTGCCCAAGAAAAACTCCAAGGAAAAGTTCAGACTCATTTACAACATGAGCACGTTCAACAGAGATTATCTACGCAAACTGCCAACGTTTCGCATGATACATCTACCTCAACTACGGCACCTAATTCGTCCCATGGACTACATGGCCAGTATAAATCTGCAGGATGCTTATCTACATATCTGATACATCCCGAATCCAGGAAATACCTACGGTTTTACACAAGAAGGGCTGCATTATCAATGGAGAGTACTCCCATTTGGAATATCATCGGCCCTGGTTATTCACAAAGAGTACTGCGAAACCTATGGAGTCACTTACCTAAATCGTCTGGGGCTCACGGGAGTGCGATTTCTACCTCGACGACGGGAGTTCAAGTAGATCAAGATCAGAGTCTCAAACTACAGTTAAACTTCATCATCAAGCTACTAAAAACACAGCTAGGATGGTTAGTAATCCTACTCCAGTCGGACCTAGAACCTACGCACCAAGATCTGCAATTTCTAGGCATTACGATTTATCCGCGACACACAGAACCGTATCGTCGTACCAGAGGACCGATGGCTCAAGATCCAACAGACCATTCCACAAGCCTTACTCTCTCGGCTACCACTACGACAATGGCAGAGTCTGTTGGGTCTCCACGTCAGCCCAAAGACATGACAGTCAGAGGCAGACTACGAGATTCGTCCGTTACAGGTCCTCATCAACACTCATCTCGACGACCTACAGCCATTCAGTCTACCGAAACACATCCAGACCATCATCTACTATGGTGGACCAGGAGGTCGAATGTCTCTGAAGGCATCTATTTAACAGAGCGAATTCAAAACTCATCTCTATGTAGACCGTCGCTCCAAGGTTGTTGGAGCTCATCTAATCCACCCGGATGACATCAAGGGTTATGGAACCAGCAAGAGAGCAAGCTGCACATAAACATGCTAGAAATGAAAGCAGTAATCAGCGCCCTACTACATTGGAGCACCATTCTACAGAATGTCATCTAATGATTCACAACCGACAACTCAACAGTGGCGTTTATGTAAACAAACAAGGCTCAGCGAGATCATTGAACCTATTGACTCTATGCTTTCAACTGTTCGATCTAATCGGCCGATCTCAACATACATGTCAGAGCATGCCACATTCCTTGAGCCAAGAATGTACTAGCAGGCGCACTCTCGGCAGCATCTACCATCACCGACAGAATGGATGCTCCATACAGAAATTTTGCACAGATTATCAAAGGAAATAGGGCTCCGCTAATAGACCTATTCCCCACTCGCTTCAACAGTCAGCTAACAACATTCGTATCACCAGTCCCCGGATCCACAAGCTTGGGCAGCGGACGGCTACTAAGCATATCCTGGGAAGGCCTCAAACGCGTCACGCGTTTCCGCCGGCCAGCTAATTCAAAGGTGTTACAAAAATCAGACAAACGCAGAGCCTCCAACTGATTTTTGAATTGCGGCCCTACTGGCCAGTGAGAACGTGGTTTCCCATTCTAATTCAAGAAATCGGACAACCAACACTACAGCTACCAAAGCGCTCGAATCTACTAGTACATCCTCACACCAAACAAGTGCGGAAACCCAGAAGCATTCCAACTTCACGTATGGACTGTATTAAAGAGAGTGGCTAAACAAAGAGGTTATTCAGCCAGAAGCGGCGAAAGCAGTCATGCTTGCTTTACGCCAATTCTACCGCCAACTTGTATGGCGACAAAGTGGCACAGTTTTCAAACATACGGCTGCTAAAAAGGGATTTACAGCGAGAAATGCTACAAATCCACAAGTGGCTGACTATCTGTGTTACCTACGACAAACTAAACGTCTAAAAGGCTCGACATTGTCACGCATATCTGCAGCTCTAAGTTCTGTATTAACTATGAGAACGGGTGTCAAGTTAGCAGCGCCAGAGTTACTGGCCTTACTACGTTCATTCCGATTGGAGGATCAGAAACAGAGATTCGGCTCCAGCATGGGATCTAAATATAGTGCTCCAACACCTCACAGAGTGAGGCCTATGAACCACTGGAATCAACAACCTCTGAATTTCTGTCACAGAAAACATTGTTCCTGTTATCCTTAGCAACGGCAGCCAGGATGTCAGAAATTCACGCACTAGATTATAAGAGAATACGTTTTGACGACAATCAAAACATAGTGCATATGGGACTGCGATGGGACTTTATAGCCAAGAATCAATTGCCAGGTCAACCATACAGATTATTCCATGTCCCTGCACTCTCCTCAATTCTCGGGGGGCGGTGGGGTAGTCTAGTGGTTAAAGCGTTGGCTTGTCGCGCCGAAGACCCGGGTTCGAATCCCCACATGGGTACAATGAGTGAAGCCCATTTCTGGTGTCCCCCGCCGTGATATTGCTGGAATATTGCTAAAAGCGGCGTAAAACCAAACTCACTCAGTCAGTCAGTCCTCAATTCTCGGACCTCAAGATACGCTTGACCTATCTCTATGTCCAGTCAGAGCACTCAAAATCTATCTACAACGATCCAAAACGAGGCGACGACAACTCAAGCGGTTATTCATCCCTCTATCGACAGCGACTAAGTCCGAAGTCTCGTACCACCGTAAACTTAGCCTCAGTATTATTCGTTACCCTACTATACTGAGGTCTAACAAAACCGTATGGAAGGTCGCGTCAGGTGACCTTTGAGCGACCTATGACCGCCCAATCAAACGCGAGACGGCCGAACGGAATTCACCAATCAGACAACGGCTACTATTTTGCGTACGGCGGGACTTGCAAAATGGCGACTCAAGATGAAATTGACAGTGCGCTCGGAAAAGTTCTTCCGCATTTCGGTGTAAAAGAGATGAAAAAGCAACAGAAAGAAATTTTAAAGTGTTTGCTGGCCGATAGCGACTGTGTTGCCACACTACCAACTGGATTTGGCAAGTCACTTGCTTTTCAAACTTACATTCCCGTTCGTCGCGTGTTGGATTCTACACATACCGGCAGGATGATCGTTTGCTGTCCGCTCGTGTCACTAATGCACGATCAAGTAGATAAACTCTCCTCCATTCCGGGCATTGCTGCAGCATACAGAGGTATGAACATTTGTGTTAATCTTAAGAGCCTAATATGTAATGAATTTGTTTTAAATGTACTTATTATAGGCTTATTATATTTTGAAAATTACACTAATGTTCCTGTTATTAGCTACATTTCTTAATTAAATTCATGTACATGAGACGTCAGTAAAATATTTGGTACGAAATTCTTATGTAAAGCTTACCTTTTGCTGCCAATTATAACAATTTTGATTACATTTTTTGACACCGCACAACTTCTATCATTATCAATTCTACGACAGTCATCTTGAATACACAATTTTAGACAGTATAATTTAGTACCAATACTCTAACCTCCATTTCTGAATGTTTGTTTACATGGTTCAGTGTTTGTAATAACCACTTTAACCATCTGTGAAAACATCTCACGCCAGAAAGTCAAAATAATCTTATAATTCCTATAATTCAGCTTGTTCATCTTTGTAGGTTTCAGTGAGTCAAGTGACAAACTTATTCAAGAGGGATCAGTAGATATCATCTATGCCTCTCCAGAGACACTTGTTGGTGACCCACTTTGGAGAACAGCACTACAAAAGCTCAAAGTTGATGTGATTGTCATCGACGAGTTCCACACAATTGCAACATGGTATGTCTCATCAAAAGACTAAAATGTCAACAATATCATCTATACAGCTTTAAGTTTCTTCATACTTGATATAACCATTTTATCACAAAAGTCATTTTTATTAAGGTTGGACACATTTGTTAATGTTTTTGCAGTTTTAGACCAACCTGACATTTGAACAATTAATTGAATATTTGTTCAAGTAACTGTTAGGTTTCATAACTTGTTTCAGGGGACATGGGAGTGATGGTACCGAAAAAGAAGCTTTCAGGAAATGGTTTGCTCACATTGGGGAACTGCGATCATTGTTTCCTGATGCATGCATACTAGCACTAAGTGCCACATGTACAACACAAATTAGAAAACGTGTACTGAAAGTGCTGTCCTTAAAAGAAAATACATATGTCATAAACATGTCTCCAAACAAGACCAACATCAAACTTGTTGTAGCTAAAGTGCCCAACACTGTTGAAATTGCCATGTCTTGGCTTGTGGACGGGTTAAGAGACTTAAAGAATCATTTTCCTAGAACTGTTATGTACTGTCAGACTATCAGGGATGTAACAAGAATGTATACCTACATTACCGAAGAGCAGCCAGATCTTGTGAAGCAAGTGGACATGTTTCATTCACATACACCGCAGGATAAAAAGATGGACATTTTACAGGGCTTGAAAGATACCTCAAGTTCACTAAGGTTGGTGGTGTGTACAAGTGCGCTTGGCATGGGTGTTGACATAGCAGGTTTTGACAGTGTTATAATATACGGAAATCCAGGTAACACTGTTGATCTTGTACAGGAAATAGGTCGAGTTGGACGAGGAGGTCACATGGCCATTGCACTGTTGTTGCACAACTCATTTCACTTGAGAAAGTCTGACACTGAAGTAAGAAATGTGTACCAGTTAACAGAATGCAGAAGAATGTCTCTCATGACATCATTTCTCACAGTGAAACAGTTGGATGAACTCAAACTTGAAACCGGCTGTCATACTTGTTGTGACATCTGTGCTGAAGCGTGTTCATGTGGAAAGTGTTCTATGTTGAAACTAGAAGAACTGTTTGCAGGAGTGGAGCCTGTTCTATCAGACTCTTCAGACAACAGTTCCAGTACAGATTTCTATTACACATCCGATTCGGGTGGTGAATCAGATTTTTAGCCTCAGCTTGCAGAAATGATGTTTGATGTAGATAATGAACTGCAGCAAGTATTTTCATTTACATTGAGTACCTGTCTGGAATTTATGATATCACAACAACAATCTTGTGTTGATTTCATGTAATGATTTGCGTCTAAATGTGTTGGAAAAGTAATGCAAATGAAATAAGTATTTTTAATAGACAGTGCAACCTGGATATAATGCCATGTTTATGCCAGAACAGATTTTCTGCCCTTATTAAAATGTATTTTGCATTTATGTGCAAGTGTACATGTGCTATGTAACTGAGAAATAAAGAATAATCAATAAAGACATGCCTTCTCCTGGCAAAATGGTGGCATTATAACTAGGGTATACTGTATTAAATGAGGAAAAAGATTCAGCAGTGTTTGAGAAATAAATACTTTTATTAAAACATTTAGTCTTGCAATCTACTGGGATGTTTGTACATTTCTTTACCCCATGCTGTAACACAGCCTCAAAATGGTCTTAGCACAAAGACGATCTTAACTCCCATGCTGTAACACAGCCTCAAAACGGTCTTAGCACAAATACAATCTTAACTCCCATGCTGTAACACAGCCTCAAAACGGTCTTAGCACAAATACAATCTTAACTCCCATGCTGTAACACAGCCTCAAAACGGTCTTAGCACAAATACAATCTTAACTCCCATGCTGTAACACAGCCTTAAAACGGTCTTAGCACAAATACGATCTTAACTCCCATGCTGTAACACAGCCTCAAATCGGTCTTAGCACAAAGATGATCTTAACTCCCATGCTGTAACACAGCCTCAAAACGGTCTTAGCACAAATACGATCTTAACTCCCATGCTGTAACACAGCCCTTAAAACGGTCTTAGCACAAATACGATCTTAACTCCCATGCTGTAACACAGCCTCAAATCGGTCTTAGCACAAAGATGATCTTAACTCCCATGCTGTAACACAGCCTCAAAACGGTCTTAGCACAAATACAATCTTAACTCCCATGCTGTAACACAGCCTTAAAACGGTCTTAGCACAAATACGATCTTAACTCCCATGCTGTAACACAGCCTCAAATCGGTCTTAGCACAAATACGATCTTAACTCCCATGCTGTAACACAGCCTCAAATCGGTCTTAGCACAAAGATGATCTTAACTCCCATGCTGTAACACAGCCTCAAAACGGTCTTAGCACAAATACAATCTTAACTCCCATGCTGTAACACAGCCTTAAAACGGTCTTAGCACAAATACGATCTTAACTCCCATGCTGTAACACAGCCTCAAATCGGTCTTAGCACAAAGATGATCTTAACTCCCATGCTGTAACACAGCCTCAAAACGATCTTAGCACAAAGATGATCTTAACTCCCATGCTGTAACACAGCCTTAAAACGGTCTTAGCACAAATACGATCTTAACTCCCATGCTGTAACACAGCCTTAAAACGGTCTTAGCACAAATACGATCTTAACTCCCATGCTGTAACACAGCCTCAAATCGGTCTTAGCACAAAGATGATCTTAACTCCCATGCTGTAACACAGCCTTAAAACGGTCTTAGCACAAATACGATCTTAACTCCCATGCTGTAACACAGCCTCAAATCGGTCTTAGCACAAAGATGATCTTAACTCCCATTTACACAGGATTATTGTCAATGTAAATGTCAAGATGTTTGATCAAGGATATTAAAATATTACCATCCACATGATTTACCTCTCTTTGTTCTATAACATATTTTTAGAAATAATAACTAAATCTAACCTGAAGAGTTACTAGTTTAAATTTGAGAATATCGAGATGGTGATTGTGATTAACAGTTACTCTAAAGATACATACACACCTGTTGGAAATTACAATCAAGCTTTTAAACTTTCTATTGCAATAAACATTTGGACATGCAGTTAATATTGCCTTATAATATTCTGGCACAAAAAGGCTTATCAGAGTGTTCAACACTATTATGATGTTGAATGTAATGCTTTGAACATCAGTGAACTTGAATAACAAGTCAAAAGTGAGCACACATCACATATCCCCGGTGAATTAATATCACAGCTTGTTTCACAATCAAATATGCTTGTTGCGGAGACGTGCAAAGGGGACTGTTGGTTTGTGACGATGTATCATGGTAGACAGATTTGATTCACTGTTGGCAAATGGATTCCTGTCACTACACAGATCCTTGCAGTGGAGTGAACGCTCAGGTTTCGTTGTGAGCACATCTAATTGTCTCAGTTCACTCAGTACCTTGTGTACATCGGCACCATAGTTTGGCAAGTGATGAAATCCCTTCCTCTGTTTCAGATTGCAAATGTCTTCAAAATTCCGCACAGACTGGGTAAGATGTGGGTACTCCTTGGAATGCTGAATGATACTCTCTTTGGTCTTGTGGCCGGAACATGCAATTTTGCTGTCCCGATTTAGCATTTCCAAGTACTCATCAAGAGCAATGTTGTTGTTTTTTCCCCCTTGCAAATTCACAAATCGATTAGCGACAAGTCGCTCGCTCTGTTCTGCTGGCAAAGTGCCTGAAGTAAGGGCAGTTAAATGTACCGAACCGATGACATATTTCACCTTGTTTGTCTTGTTGTACAATGGAAGTTCATACTTTGCGGAGCGAACAGATCGACAACCATCAGCCATGTCAACAGCTTGGTCTAAGTTCTTGTGAAGCATTGTCAGCTTAAACACCATTAAAAGATGGTCTTTCAACTGATCTGATTTCTTGGTTTTGCTTTTTGGTTTCTTTTTCTGAATGTTCACATTGTGAAACTTTGCTTCATGTGCCTTAAGTGACCCAATATATGCATATGTCTTTTCACAAAAATGACACTTGACACGGCCTTCATCAAGGTTTGACACCCAGTAGTTTTCCTGATGTTCAGGATTTGAAAGAACCCTTCTCAGAGATTCACAAATGTCCTCTGAATCTTCAAAAAACCACTCTTTAATGATTTCCTCTGAGATATCATTCAGCCACTGTACCCTTTCCCCTGCTGACAGGTCAGTGAAGTTGTCAGGAAAGCTTATCTTGGTGTCAGGGTCATCCAAATGCAAATGGTGTAAGAACAGCAGCAAGCATATTGCATCCAAGATGATGTAATACAATATTTTAAAGGGCCGATAAGCATTTTTCACATCTCCCTTTACATTTCTCATGTTCAGCAGGTTCCTGAAGAAATACACAGTTCCCTTGTCATTTCCACTTTTTGTGCTGTAACTCATCTTGTGTATTGCCTGAAGAAGGAAACATTTAGTATTTGATAATATTCTTATCATGCATAAAACAACGTAACTAAATTATATCAGTAAGTTAACATGTACAGATTGAATGCAGTCTGAAGAATAGTTAGTTCCTGTCTGATAGGTTGTATCAAAAGAATTTTCAGTCATTGATCAAGGTTCAACTCCTCAGAATTAGAATTATGAAAGTCTATCATATCATTACCTCGAGTAAATTCATCAGTCTGTGAAAATCCTCTATCTTTGAGATGAATCCTTCAAGTCTGTCTTTCGGTGTTAATCCATTTCCTACAGACTGTTGAGCGCACTGAACCCTTTCATCAGTAAGTCTGTCACCTGAAATGAATAGATATATGTACAGGCCTGATGAGGTAAAAATGTGAGAAAATGTTTCTTTACAGATACCTGTTCAAAGTAATGGTATGTCTGAAAACAATACTTGTTAACTTGCCTCCCAGAAATACTGATTCCACTATTTCTCCATCGGCGAATGGCACATACTCTTCGGTGAGATCAGTCAAGAGCTTTATGACATCCTGTGTCTTGTTTTCATTACAGTCAAAAAGCCCAAGTGGATACTGAAAGGCAGAAAAAAAACCATTGATATTATTCAAATGAATTGGAATCAAGAGTATGCGATTATTACATTTTCACTGTAAAACAAATACATCACATCACAGCCTTGACATGATCCCCTTTGACTTCACCAGCAGGCAATAACAATATGATACAGGGGTGATCAAACATTTCAGCTGTAAATTAAATAATGAATTAGCTCATAAATTTAGTAAAGATGGATAATTGTTTAGTCCAAAAGGTCACTAAACACAGACTAAATATTATTTGGTAAATATAAATAGCGTTACATGTGTATTGACCTGGCTTGTCTTGATTCCTGCTAGGTGACTGTATTCATGTGGTAGATGCTGAGGGAAGATTTTTCCAAACTTGCTGTTCAGCTCAGGGTGATTAGCAATGACTGATGTTGAAAACAGGAATGTCATCTCTCTCAGAAGCAAAGCCTGCTCTTCCTTTGATGGTATAAAGGTCAAACAGTCCAAATCAATGGCATTTATAACTTTTGTATAGGATGCAGATGGCTGTGGGCAGATTCTGTCAACAATGGCATACATGTTAAACAGATGAAGTGATACAGTTTTCCTGTCCGAGGTCCTGTAGGATGGCAGAATGTTTTTATCCCAATTGTCACCAATCAGTTGATACTTCTTCTGTCCTCCAGCAGCCCATTCATTCTTCATATCCTTGATCTCTGAGCTAAGCTCACTTTCCCAAGAAAGCAGCTTCTGATGTAATGTAACTGGATGCATAGTGAATCCTATCTGTGACAGCCTCTGAATAGCCTTGAAAGAGAAATACATTTGATTAGGTATGTAACTAAAAATGGACTAAATAGTTGAGTTGTGTGATGTACTACTTCTACAACCACTCCTTCAGAAATACATGAAACAATTTACATGGAATCATAATCCTGTGTAAATGCTGGAAGTGAATAATTGGTAATGGTGTTGTAAGTCTGTCATAACACACATAACACAGTGCTTACTTGAACTTAATAATTTGCTGCCATGTATTACATCAGACTGTCAGAATACTGTTGATGGAAGATGATGCTTATACACTTAAAGGGTATCTTATGTCACCCATGTTCATAAACATTTATTGCAATCACCTGAGGCACTTAATAAGAAATCATGGTGCTTATACTGAAAATTACTGCCATAATTAAAAACGTTTTACATATCATGAGCATATTCAAAAAGTACCTTCTGAGTACAACCACCATGGGTGAGAAGAAAGCCTGATATGTACTGGAGGGCTGACATGTCTTGGGATCTACCATGAAGACCAACTGCTGCTGTCATCAACATGTGGCGGAATGCCTTGCTGGTTGCTTGTATTGGCACATCACTCACAATTGCTGACAAAATGGAACAAAGTCCTGGGCACCTGGCTGTAAGTTCATGGTAAAACTTTTCCCATGTGAAATTCATAATGTCATCATGAGTTTTCAGCATTAGAAGTGACTGAGTGCTCTTTCTGCATAAGGTTCTGCACTCATGTGCAACCACTTTGGTGGAGCTTTTAATGACATCCATTGGTTTTGAAACAGTTATGTGGTCTAAAACAACCTTATTAAAGTCAGATCCTCTAACTATGGCCCTGCAGGCTTTCTTCTGCCCTTCTTCCTCAACAATCTTTTTTTTTGCACCGCTCTGGTAGAAGATTGTGACCTAGGTAAAAACAGAATGTTATCACAATTTTTTTTCTGATGCATTAGTGAGTGAGTTAACATTCAATGTCACACCAGTAATTTAATAATAGCATTATTTGGACAATACTTAATAAAAAAACAGGCAATAGATTGCCATCAACTGAAGGTATATCACCATACTAGGAACCATGGAGACTTACAGTACTTTTGCTACCTGCATGGTACCTAGCTGGATTTATATCATCCCTTCAGCCGCTGGCAATTTTGGTCAAATTTAGCCATAAATTAAAATCACAAAAATACTACGTTTCAAGAATCTGGTAAGTTGAAATGTACTTTGAAAGTTTCTTGACTTACGTACCCTCTCAGGAGGACAATAATTTTACAATACTTTAACCCCCTTTAAGGGCTACTACTGTCAAATTAACAGTAACTAAAGTCAAGACCCCACTCTCCAATCTGCCTTTGTACCCACAAATAACAATGCCACCAAGATTTATCAGTGAGTATAGATGATTTTTTGTATTATTTTTCATTTAATACTGAGAGTCTGTTGTGTGCTCAGATGTTTAACTTACCAATAACTAGACCTGGGTATGATACTGTTGCAAACAGCATGCAAATGAACATCTGAAAAAATTGAATAGAACTATTAACCTCTTACCCAGAACCTGAAGATGGAAACTGATGAATTACAAGGCAGTCAAAGAATAACATATGGTTCAGTTAATCTTTAATCCACTTAATAAAAACTTTTTTCAAGTATAGATAAACTTTTTTCAAGTATAGATAGCATATAACATATGTGGGTGAATTGAACTTTCACTTCATTGCAAATCAAAAACAGAGTTAGTATTAAACAAGCCGAGTGCTTGAAATCTGAAAATTATAGTTAGTATAGGTTAGTATAGTCAACATAACTACAAAGTAACATGATCAAAAGCTAAACTTTAAAAGTTTCTTAATAATATACTCTTCTTTTCGTAAGCTGTTAAATTTTCTTGTGAAATCACCATACACATTTTCAACTCAAATTTTTGTTTTATGTAAATTAGCTTGATTTGCATGACGGTAATGACCATTTTTAGGTTTCCATGACTTTGATGTTTAATATTCCTGAAAATTATAAGTCTTTACTTTAGCCATTAGTAATACAAATAATGTCAAATGTCTCTCATGTTAACATCTCAAAATCATTATCTCGAGTATATGTAATACTTGGACACTCCATAACTTCAAAACGTCCTTTTTAATTATTTGTTCTGTTCAAAGAGTGTTTGTTTTTGGTGAAAGTTTAAGTAGAACATATCCATTTCAGCTGAGTACACAAAACACAATAAATACTCAACTTAAACTCAAATCATGCAGTGGAATTCACAAAAAACATTAATTTTGTATTCATGATCATTCAAACACCTCTACTTCTCCGTCAGGTCTTTCCATGTCAGGAGATTTTTCTGACTGTTTAAAGTCAATCGATCTTCGTGCTGATCTTTTGGCTTCAATGTCTAAGTAGCATGAAAAGATTTTTGAAAATTAATACAAGGAAAAACTTACAGGTGATTCAGATAAATGGTTAATTATATATGTCCTTTAGTTATTTTTATCAATAATACCGCTGATATAACCAATTTTTTAAAGTGTAATACTTCGTGTTGACTTGAAGATTAGTTCAGATGGCTTGATATATTCCTGAAACATATTAGAGAAAATAGGTAACATTAACATTTTAGCATACTGTAGTTGTGTGTGTTTTAACTCACCTTCACTGCTTGGTAAATTCTCAACTCCTGGTAACAGAGGTATGCCTGGCAACATTTGCTTTGGGGAACATACTGTTTTCCTGTTGGAAGATTGCAGTGGCTGCAGAGTAGATAGCTGCACGGGGTACTTTCGCACCACAGTTGTAGGAAACAATTTTGTAGCTGTGGATAACTTGGCTTCTTGTCCTGAATGTGGGGATCTTAGCAGTCTTTTGGTTACTGTTTGTTTTCGTGGCGATGGCAAAGTCAAGAGGGTGTTATCTACAGTTTTTCTTGACTTGTTTAGCGATTCAATCTGATTTTCAATTTCCTTCTTCATTTTAAAAACGTTCTCAACCCGTCTGAAGCATTTAACACACACGCCATTGGAATCTTCACACGACGGTTCCCTTTCAAAATCACCAATGACTAGATGAATCTTCTCAATCCTTTCAGAATTGAGTTTGAGTTTCTGCGTGAAGTGTTTTTGGATTTTCTCTTCCCCAGTCGCTGACACTGACCTCTCAACAAACGAAAATCCGCATAAAACACAGATATTTGACCTGCAGTATATACGCTTTGGGGTTACTGTTGACATGGTCAGATGGTTACCGTTAGCTAATATTTCCGCAAGCTGACATCCTTGAATAATGACAAAACGATATTTTCCGCGACTGTTTACTCACGGTTGTGGCGCGCTCCATGTGCATCAACCGGAAGCGATCGTACGGAAAATTGCATTCGGAATCGTTCGGGTACAAACTTTTCGAGGTAAAAGTTCAAAGGGTTTGTGCGAATGTCGACTTTCGCGATCTGGTAAGCTCTGTTCTGATTGGTCAATCTCAAAGGTCACCTGACGCGACCTTCCATAAGGTTTTGTTAGACTCAGTAGAGGAGTGTAACGAATAGTATTGAGACTAAGTTTACTTAGACTGGACAAGCAAAAGAGCATGAGTCAGGATAAGTATAAAATATCAATTTTATTCAGAAAATGACATAATTTTTAGAGGTTAAGTATTTGATACATTAAACCTGCACATCTGCACCATGTAAAACCCAGGCCCCTCTGTATGGAGGTTTCAGTAAAGTGGAGTAATGGTTCAAACTGGAGGAAACAGCATCTCAACAACTTCCAACATGCTACAGGTCTGTGATAACAGTGTAATCACTCTACACCATGGCGTGTTGAGTAACGCACCTGCAGCAAGGTTTCTAAGATACATACCTTTCCTGTTTGTAGATTTTACCCGAGAATACCCTGATGGCATATGACTTTGCCTACCAGGATGGTGTGTACGGCGTGTTGAGTAACGCAGCTGCAGCAAGGTTTCTAAGATACATACCTTTCTTGTTTGTAGATTTTACCCGAGAATACCCTGATGGCATATGACTTTGCCTACCAGGATGGCGTGTACGGCGTGGAGAGTGACGTGTAGCTGTAGCAAAGTTTCTAAGATACATACCTTTCCTGTTTGTAGATTTTACCCGAGAATACCCTAATGGCATATGACTTTGCCTACCAGGATGGCGTGTACGGCGTGTTGAGTAACGCAGCTGCAGCAAGGTTTCTAAGATACATACCTTTCCTGTTTGTAGATTTTACCCGAGAATACCCTAATGGCATATGACTTTGCCTACCAGGATGGCGTGTACGGTGTGTTGAGTAACGCAGCTGCAGCAAGGTTTCTAAGATACATACCTTTCCTGTTTGTAGATTTTACCCGATAATACACTGATGGCATATGACTTTGCCTACCAGGATGGCGTGTATGGCGTGGAGAGTGGCGTGCAGCTGTAGCAAAGTTTCTAAGATACATACCTTTCCTGTTTGTAGATTTTACCCGATAATACACTGATGGCATATGACTTTGCCTACCAGGATGGCGTGTATGGCGTGGAGAGTGGCGTGCAGCTGTAGCAAAGTTTCTAAGATACATACCTTTCCTGTTTGTAGATTTTACCCGAGAATACACTGATGGCATATGACTTTGCCTACCAGGATGGTGTGTACGGTGTGGAGAGTGACGTGCAGCTCAGGTGAGTGTAACATCCTCCGTCCGGAAACTGTTTTTCTAAAACAGTTCCTCACTGTCTTTAAGAAGAGACTGTTTGCTTGAGCAGTTCCTCACTATGTCTTTAAGAAGAGACTGTTTGCTTGACCCGGGATGTCAAATGGCACAAACGGCCGGTCGAGTTAACTTCATTAAATAGGATAGCAGAGAATGTTATTAATGTTGCATTCATACATAGATTCGTTACAGCCCGAATCGGAAACATCAAACCATCTGTAGCTTCTCTTTTAAAGAAAGTTAGGACAAAGGTCGACCTGTCTCGACTATTCGGACATGTTGACAAACAACTGACAATTGTGCACCCCTTCACAATAAAAGACCCAACCAGTTGTGACACGGTCTGTAGTCAGACAGATTACACAGAGTTACCTCCCTTCCCTTGTAGGGAATCTCTAGTCAACAAAGGTTGACTAGTTGTTCTTGTCTGGTGCTAAAATTTAATGAGTTGAATTACATCTGTTTATCTCAGTTATTACTGTATGCAAATGGGCCTAATTCTGTATGTTTATGTATGGCGGTACGTAGCATTGGATTGAGAACATATAGGCATTAATTAAAACATAAAGACATTGTTGTTTTAATTTTCAATTGTAATCTGTCATTGACGTAAGTTTACCCAAACACGCAATTCATTAGTATTCACTTGATCAGGTCAAGCTGAACAAGCTGTACTTTGTGCTGTGTTGCTGCATCTTGTAGACTAAAGCAGATCTGTATTAAAAGCTGGAAGTGTCATCAGTTCTACCCGTGTATGAAGACTGGTTGTGCTGGGTGTAGAATCTGCCTTACAGTTACCTCTAGTGTATTACAAGCTGGAAGTGTCATCAGTTCTACCTGTGTATGAAGATTGGTTGTGCTGGGTGTCGAATCTGCCTTACAGTTACCGCAAGTAGGGATTCATTGTTAGAATTGGCCAAACCCATGCTGCTTGGAAGAGACGCCCAAACAATCAGCCTCAGTGTCATTATACTCTGATGTGTAGCTGCTCACAATATCGATCTCTGGATCTGGTACAGATTTGAGGAGACTCAGACCACTGCTGGAATATTGCTGAAACTTGTGTTGAACAACAAACAAACAGACAAACACTGATGTCTTCTGTCTGTTTCAGTTTGGACTGTGTGCCCTTCATCCTGACTGGATAAATGATGATCCGTCGTCTTTCAACATGTCAGATCTGAAAAGGCTGGATGCTGGCTCGTGGTTTTTACAAGTGAGTATTTGCTGAACACTGAAAGCCACCTTTCACTGTGTGACTTTGCTGTGAGGTGTGGTTACTCAGCTGAAAATACCAGTGAAGATCTGGGTTAGAATTGGTCTTCAGCAACCCATGCTTGTTGTAAAAGACGACTATTGGGATCTGGTGGTCTGACTCGCTGACTTGGTTGGCACATGTCATCACCTCCCAATTGTTTCAATCAATGCTCATTCTGTTGATCACTGGACTGTCTGATCCAGACTCAATTAGTTACAGACTTCCGCCACATAGCTGGAATATTGCTGTGTGCAACGTTATATATCAAGTCGACCAACTCAACTGAATTACCTCCCTTCTTGTAATTTATGTAAAGATTGCAAAGATGGACAAAGTCCATGCCACCACTTCTCTGGATAAACAGTTCGGCGATTAAGAAGATTATGTACATGGTGAAATATCGAGATTCATTAAGAGTTGACAAAACTTTTGAAAATGGTCAGATTAATTAGTTGATAATTGGCCATTACGGAACTGTTTTGTTAAATACAGAGACACCTTAAAGTCAAGCCTGTCTCCAGCAGGTTCATGCTTATGTATAACTTACTGACACTCTGTGGACATTGATATCCAGTAAAATCATTCAGATTATGACACTTGACAGTCTCCAGCAACCTCGCCAAATGAAACCACCAAGCCAACAAATGTTTAGGTATTTATCGTCCACAAAGGCAGGTTTACAGATTAACGTGGTTAAGACAACTGAAGTTTCATTCTGTGCACGGAAACTGTTGGTCATGTGAATTAAGCACTGACAACAATTTTTTCATTTCTTCAGAATGACCATTTCTGGACATCTGGGGACTTGACCGATGCTCAGCAGAGGCATGTAGCCAATCAGACGTTGCCTACACTGGAGGAGCTTGCACGATTGGGCAGGAACTACAGTGACAATGTGTTGATGTTCGACCTGCTGCCCCCCAACCCCCACCCCCCACCCATTCACATCCCTGTTACAACCTGAGTGTCAACTACACCATACATGCCCTCACCCAGGCGGGATACCCGTTACAAAACGTAAGGATGGTGATGTGTGGGTGAGTGAGTGAGAGACGCACCCAACCCGACAGTTCAAGCAATATCAAATATTGAGCATGAAAAAAGCGTGTGATTCTGTTGATAAGAGAATGTTTTGAAACTGTGACTGAAAAAATATGGCATACCAGTCATCCCCCCCAACACACAGGAGCACCATGACACCAAAGACACCACCAGACAACTCCAGCACCCCAAACACCCTCTGACACTGCAGTCACCCCAAACACCCCCTGACACTGCAGTCACCCCAAACACCCTCTGACACTGCAGTCACCCCAAACACCCTCTGACACTGCAGTCACCCCAAACACCCTCTGACACTGCAGTCACCCCAAACACCCTCTGACACTGCAGTCACCCCAAACACCCCCTGACACTGCAGTCACCCCAAACACCCCTGACACTGCAGTCACCCCAGCCCCAAACACCCTCTGACACTGCAGTGCACCCTAAAACACCCACCCCAAACACCCTCTGACACTGCAGTCACCCCGAAAACACCCTCTGACACTGCAGTCACCCCAAACACCCTCTGACACTGCAGACAATGCACCCCAAACACCCTCTGACACTGCAGTCACCCCAAACACCCTCTGACACGGCTGTCACCCCAAACACCCCTCTTACAATGCAGTCAATTCAATAGTGTTTTATTCAGCAAAAGAGACGTAGGCCATCGGCCCATGACACAACATTAGGTTATTAGAGCAGCCACAATACATATTGCCTACATTAACAGATTTTTTTCTTAATTGCATAGCCAACATACATAGCCAACTTTCTTATAAGATCACTTATCACTTGACATTAAAAGATTAAATTTAGCTAATGTTTGAAATCGTAGTATTTCCTAGCAATAAACTGTTCAAGTAAATGGACATAAGCCTTGCATACTAACAAAAGTGGTACTCATCTTGACATTGTTCACAAAGATCTTTTTATTTCTTGGGACATTTGAATATCTACCCATCTCAGTTTTCAGTTGGTGAGAACTACATCTAAACTTAGCTAAAGCGACACGAAATTTTCGAATAGTTATATGCTTAATATAATGCTCTGGATATAAGTTTAACTTGTACATAGAATAATTATATGTTTTAGAACCTTGTGACAAAGATGTATGCCAAACTTGCTGATAAATACATTTACTATGACTTAGCTCTATCCATAAATTCTAATAAAAATGACTGAATATTATCAATACACTGGTTATCGCAAACAAAGCCAAATCCCATTTTAAATAACACATTTTTCCTTATCCTGACTCATGCTAATTATGCTTGTCTCCCGCTTGCGAATGATAGTGGACACTTGAAATCTCTTGAAGTTCCCTTCTAAAAAAGCGGACGTAAACTCACTCACCCACAAGTAGTCTCCCTTTCCTCCCTTTTGGCGCCCTTTTTGGTCACATGACCAGCCATGTTTGTCACT